AAATTAATTAATTGTTAAGAGAAATTGTTCTTCCTCCTGAATTTATCTTATAACAAATATACTTTCATTCCGGAGGTACATCAGAAAATGTCCTCCTTTCTTGTGAAGCGGGTCGAACGCCTCGGCAGGATAGATGCATCTATGGATCGTGTCGCACGTCCCTCGGCAGTATACACAAAACTCTGGATCGGGCCGTACGACCTCGGCAGAAATCATGCTTGATAATTAAAAAAAAATTCACGATACTTGGACAGTTTATTCCAGCTTATAAAGCTATTTGATAAATTGAAAATTTATTGAAATTGAATTGCAGCTTATATAGCTATTTGATAAATTGAAATTTTTATTGAAATTGAAGGATTTAATTAATAGATTGAAAATTGTTGCATTTGAAGGATTTTATTATTTATGCTAAATGAATAAAATTATTGTTAACTGTGTGAATCATGCTGATTTGAATAATTATAATTTATTCCATTTATTATTGTTGACCCTTAGTGAGTGTCAAGGTCGGTCATCTCGTCTCTACCACTTCGAGATTAGGCTTGATACTTACTGGGTACACGTTGTTTACGTACCCATGCTACACTTGCTGCACTTTTTGTGCAGGATCTGAGACAGATACTAGTGGAGGACCTATCATAGCACATCCTCGTTATCCAGGGCCGTAGTGGTGAGCTGCCTTTCTGAGCCGTCCTGCAGCTACCAGTGCCTCTTCTTGTATTTTTAATTCTGTCTATTTTCATTACAGACAGTATTTGAATTTTTGTATAATCTACTAGATGCTCATACACTTGTGACACCAGGTCTTGGCACACACATTGGTAGAATTTGGTATCTTATTATTTTTTTTGGATTTAAATTTTATCGATATATGTTTAATTTAATAGTTGGCTTGCCTAGCTATAGTGTTGGACGCCATCATGACCTATAGGTGAAATTGGGTCGTGACAGCCATGGTTATAGCGGAAGCTCGAATTTCTCAAGTTTCACGTAAGAGGTTAAAAAATATAAAGTATTAAGTTATCAAAAAGATAGTGTAATTGAAAGACCTTTTCACATTTCAATAATTCAATTAATATTACCTTACATTTTTAGAGTGGACCCAACATTAAATATAATTAACATTTATTATTTTTTAGGAACTTTTAATTTTATTAATTTTTATTTTATAACATAAATATATATTTTAAATATTACTTATGTTGATTTATTTTTATTGAAACAGGCGTATCTTAAAACTAGTAAAATCTATATGCCCAAGAGAAGATGAAGTCTTCTAGACTTTATAATTTCAACAAATTGATATGGATAAATGAATCTTTTGCTTCTATTTTGTTAACTAGAACTAGAATCTTCTCGGTAAGAGCACATAGGGATTAATACTACACATTTCTTTGTTTAAATAGGACTACAAAATTAGACTATAGCATTGTACCAGCGGGCGTGGAAAGGACTCGGAATGCTATAAAACCTGTTGGTTTCAAATATATCAAAGATGTTATTGTTTTATCCATGAAGCTCATAAAGCTTGGCAGTGCAGGCCAAAGAACCGACGATTGCTTCCATATTTTGCTCTCAAGAGCATTATCATCTGTTAAAAACCGAACTAATCTCCACAAAGTTCATTCTCTCATAGTAATTTCAGGCCAGCACCAATCAACATTCTTCTGTGGAAAACTCATTTCAAAGTACTCCGAGTTCAAAGACCCTGCTTCTTCATTATCCATTTTCCGCATAAATTCACCTACCCATAATGTTTACTTATGGAATACTATCATTAGAGCCATGACCCATAATGGGTTATTCTCTAAAGCATTAGACTTTTATACCCAAATGAGAAAATTAAATGTTAAGCCGGATAATTATACTTTTCCTTCGATTATTAACTCGTGTGGCAATTTACTGGATCTTAAAATGGCTGAAATTGTTCATGATGTTTTGGAGATGGGTTTTGGATCAGATTTGTATATATGTAATGCTTTGATTGATATGTATGCGCGGATGAAGGAACTAGGGAGAGCTCGTGAGGTGTTTGATAAAATGCCTCATAGAGATGTGGTTTCTTGGAATAGTTTGATTTCGGGGTATAATGCGAATGGGTGTTGGGAAGAGGCGGTGGAAGCTTTTCGGGAGGGAAGGTTACTGGGTGTTGTGGCTGATACTTTTACCGTGTCTAGTGTTTTACCTGCATGTGGGGGTTTGATGGAGGTTGAACAGGGTCAGACAGTTCATGGGTTGGTGGAGAAGAGTGGATTTAAGGGAGATACGACTGTGAGTAACGGACTTCTTTCGATGTACTTTAAGTTTGAGAGGCTGTTGGACTGTCAGCGAATCTTTGATGAGATGATAGTTAGAGATACTGTCACTTGGAATATCATTATTTGTGGGTTTTCTCGCTCCGGGTTGCATCAGGAGTCCATCAACTTGTTTCGAGAAATGGTTTGTGAGTATCAGCCGGATCTGGTTACAATTACTTCTGTTTTACAAGCTTGTGGACATTTGGGGGATTTAAGATTCGGAAGATATGTTCATGACTTTATTTTGAAACATAGATATGAATGTGATACTACTGCTAGCAATATCATAATTAATATGTATGCAAAATGTGGTGCTTTAGCAGCTGCAAGGCAAGTATTTGACACCATGAAAAGTTGGGATTTGGTCTCATGGAACTCAATGATTAGTGGCTATGTTGAAAATGGTTTTAATAAGGAAGCAGTAGATCTGTTTAAGATAATGAGGATAGACGTGCAACCAGATTCTGTAACCTTTGTGACACTTCTGTCAACCTGTACAAAGTTGATGGACGTGGATTTCGCAAGAGAGCTCCACTCTGATATAATTAGGAGAGGATATGATTCCACTCTTATTGTGGGCAATGCTCTTCTAGATGTGTATGCCAAATGTGGTAAAATGGAGCATTCAGTGTGGCAATTTGAAATCATGAATACTAGAGATATTGTAACGTGGAATACTATTATTGCTGCATGTGGTCATTATGATGAAAGTTACGTAGGTTTAAAGATGCTCAGTAGGATGAGAATGGAAGGTATCATGCCAGATGTTGCTACCCTTTTAGGTTCGTTGCCTTTGTGTTCCTTGCTTGCTGCCAAAAGACAGGGGAAAGAGCTGCATGGCTTCATTATCAGGCTCAATTTTGAGTCACATGTCCCTGTTGGAAATGCACTGATCGAAATGTACTCCAAAACTGGGAGTTTAAAGAGTGCAATCTCGGTCTTTGAGCACATGAGGATCAAAGACGTGGTGACGTGGACAACAATGATCTCTGCATATGGAATGTATGGCGAAGGAATGAAAGCTCTCAGATCTTTTCAACAGATGAAGGAGAGGGGTACTGTTCCCGATCATATTGTTTTTGTTGCCGTTATATATGCATGTAGCCATTCTTGTTTAGTGCAAGAAGGCCGTGCTTGCTTTAACCAAATGAGAAAAGAATACAACATTGAGCCTAGGATTGAACATTATGCTTGCATGGTTGATCTTTTATCACGTTCTGGTCTACTAACTGAAGCAGAGGACTTTATCCTTTCTATGCCGCTGCAACCTGATGCAAGTATGTGGGGAGCTCTACTTAGTGCTTGTCGAGCTAGTGGAGATACCAAGACTGCTGAACGTGTTGTAGAACGTCTTGTTGAATTGAACTCTGACGATCCTGGGTATAATGTTTTAGCTTCCAACGTATATGCCACCTTAGGGAAGTGGGACCAAGTAAGAACAATACGAAAATCCTTGAAAGCTAGAGGACTCAAAAAAGACCCAGGATGTAGTTGGGTTGAAATTCGCAGCAGAGTTTTTATTTTTGGCACTGGGGATAGGTCTTTTCAACAATACAAACAAGTCAATGAGCTCATAGAGGACCTCAACAGTGCAATGGATAAGGAAGGTTATGTTGCTGACTTAAAATTTGTTTTGCATGATGTCGGTGAAGATGAGAAGATAAATTTTCTTTGTGGGCATAGTGAAAGACTTGCTATAGCATTTGGATTATTGAACACAAAAGAAGGTTCACCTTTGCAAGTAATGAAGAATCTCCGGGTTTGTGGGGATTGCCACACTTGGACCAAGTATGTGTCAAAAATTGTGCAGAGGGAAATACTAGTTAGAGATGCAAATCGCTTTCACTTGTTCAAGGATGGGACATGTAGCTGCAGAGACTACTGGTGATTAAAGTCTGTCGTCCTTCCTCATACTTAGCAGATAAAAAGATTCCTAAAATTGAAGAAATTAAGGATTTATCATTTGGAAACAATCTGGAGGTGAAATATCTCTCTGCTTGCTAGATTTGTGAGGTTTCAAGCTATATCTCCTGTACTATTACGTTTCTACCTTACGTTGCAGGACTGGTGCACTATTCGACTTCAAAAAGAGATGCAAAAGTATTAAGGATCTTCGTATCTGGTAAAGTCTTCACTTTTTAAAGATAAAACTGCTGTTATAGAGTTTGTGAGCCATCTCCAGCGTGCTTTTTACTTCTGTGTATTCCTGTTAATCCATTATTAGGGTATTTCATTAGAAACTCCTTTATGTTGTGATAAAATTTCAGATAAAATGGTTGTACTTTTATCTTCATTCCTTATTTTGTTTTAATTTTGGCCATTGTCATTGAAGGGCCTGCTTCTTTCTAGTGGAATAGCGTACCTACTTTCTCATTCGGAGGTCAAAAGATAGAGATACATACAAAGGTATACTACTATATTTCTTTTCTGGTAGGTTAAAAGTACATTAAATTTCTTGCTGTGATACACCTGGTATTGGACGTTTAATTCAATAGTCCAACCATTTAAATCTCATAAATCAGTAGTTTTGTCCTCTTTATCATGTATGGGTTTATACATACATCTAGAAAAAGAATATACCTGGTAGATCCGTGAGCTTCTTTTCGATTGATCTTTTCATTCGTCCTTCATATCTTTTTGTTGCTTCTATCAGCCGGATCATAATTCCAGAAAATAAAGGTTTACATGACAAATTAAACACCATTATTGTTAATGACCTCACTAGGTTCTGGGACTATTATCCGAGCAATCAAAAGCTTGATCATAGCCCACTGGAGTTCGAGATATAAGTGGCAGAAGAAAAATGAAAGTTGTCTATAATTATAAGCTAGATATTTCATGGGATCTCGTGTTACTAATTCATTCATTGAATATCTTTCTTGCCTGTATGAAGAATGTGAATAGCAGGAACCAGCAAAATACTCCTAAAGGGAATGAACGCAGAGCGTGAGCTACTTTGATTTCAACTTTGTGCTAGGTGCATGGAGGAAACTTGTATGTAACAATCAAGGGTGTCCTAGGTGGATTTTTATGCTTACTTTAGCTGGTCATGGCAGATTGACTACCAGGGATGGGCTGGCTAGATGGGGTGTAACTGCTGATCAAATATGCCCTCTTTGTTCTGTAGAGAATGAAAGTGTAGAGCATTTGTTCTTCAGGTGTGACTGAATGGTCTGCCAGAATGTGGTTGAAGTTGTTACAGTGGCAGGGTATATGTAGAGCCAGTCATGGGCTGGGAGGATGAATTTGCCTTGGCAGGAAGTCTTATGCAAGGGAAAACTGCTGGTGCTGCGGTATTTGGAATTGTGCTTGCAGGTGCAATTTACTTTATATGGCAAGAAAGAAATATGAGAGTTTTTCAGGGTAGATAAAGAAATGCTGAAGTGGTTACAAAGCTGCTTATACAAAAGACATTCTGCAGAGGAACTATGAAATGCAGTTTGACAAGAAGACTGGAGCAACTCAATTACTATCCATAGCATGTATTAGATAATTTTCTTTTGACTAGGCTGTGTAGTAGGTTGAACGGGAGCTGGCTGAAATTGGGATGAAATTCCACTTTCAGCTCTTTTTTGTACTGTACATAATGTTTACTTAGTAATTAAAATTTTTTATTCAGCCCCAAAAGAAAAAAACTTTGTGCTAGCTACTTCCTCACTGTTTTTGCCAAGATATTCTACTGCTGCAAGCTGAGCACATAGCTATTTCTGTGGGCATTAGAAACCATAAGAATATCTGTGGGTATTAAAATAAATAATGTTTCAGTACTCTAACAGTAACAAATTGATCTTCTGAATTAAAATTATGTACAATTTATTACTTAATCGACACTTGAGAATTACATCTACAGTGTTACTTCAGGTAGCAAGTAAAGATAGCCAAGTAAGAATTTCAAAACTTTTATTCCTGATAGTCCAGAAAACATCGAAAACTTGATACAAGCGGTTCAGCCATCAGCTGATGGAGTTTGTTGTTATTTCCATGAACTATAATACAGCAGCAACTTAACAAACTAGTTCATTTAGGAGCATTTGCTGTCTGATAATTTTCATGAAGCAGCTGGAATTTGGTTATTAATTTGTCTCGAGGTGGCCAGTGCTCTTTGATTACTGGAGCATCATAAAAGTTATCCATCCATGCTGACAAGAGAGGAAATTTGCCTGCATCGAACAACTTCAGGTCGATTACCTCTTCAAATACATCACGAAGATATGCCAACAAACCAAGTGAAAGGTCCAGGTATCCTATTTTCTCTCCACCAAAAAATTTCTTCTCTTTCAGTTGCTCTTCAAGGAGTTCTAGATTTTGTACTGCTGGACCAAGAGCTTCGTTTTTCTCGTTTCCTTGTCCTGTGAATACACTCCATATTGATGGAAGAAGCTGCGGACAAAAGAAACATATCAACAAAAATTCAATGCATTCTTGAAAAAGGTTAGCTTCTTGTTATAACTGGAAAATGTCTTACTGTCTGAGTAATACTCACTATTATCTTGGCACTCTCTTCACATATTAATATAGACACAAAAGGACAACAATAACAACTACACATCCGTCTCAAACAAGTTATGGTCGGCTATATGAATCTTCACTTCTTTTAAGTGAAAGCGTAAAATAAGTTTTATATATATCACCTATATGAATCTTTTTCTTTCATTGAGCTCTATCTTTAGCTAAGTCTATATTGATTTTAATGATTTGTAGGTCTTTCGAAACAATTTATTTTAGGTCTACCCTGCCCCGTCTTAACACCTTCACTCACCATAGTTTTATACTGACGACCGGTGCATCTGTAGGCCGATTCAGTGGCGGAAATTCTATTTTTTTTTTCTTCTGAAATTAACAGATCAATGGTTTCTTACCTTGTCCTCCCCAAATTTTGCCCAAAAACGTGCTATGGCTTTTTCATAAGGGTCCTGAGGTAACAAAGGAGCTTCCTTCCAAGTCTCGTCAATATACTCGAGAATTACCAGTGATTCACAGATTGGTTTGCCTTTGTGTACAAGCACAGGAATCTTTTTGTGAACAGGATTATGCTGCAGGAGTTCAGGGCTCTTCTGGCTTAAATCTTCAAAAATGGTTTCATATTGGATTCCTTTGATATGTAGCGCCCAAACGGCCCTCAAACCAAATGGGCTCGACCATGTTCTGTGAAGCTTGAGTTCTTCTGCCATGTTGCTTTGCAAGTGATATCTGAAAGCTAAGTCTATTTAAACACTCAGGTTGTTCTTTTATTTGACAGAAGTGATGTATAATGGAGTATATGGCTAGAAATTCATGTGCTTGGAATTTTCTAGATAATGCANATATATATATATATATTTTCATTTCAACAAATGAGTATTTTATTTTCATGATATAAAAAAGTATTTTTTTTCATTTCTACAAAATAAGTATTTTCTTTTCATGATGCAGAAAAAATATTTTCTTTTATTTCAATAAAATGAGTACTTTATTTTCATGTTAGAGAAAGAGTTTTTTTTTCCAACCAAAAAAGAGTATTTTCTTTTTAGTTATGGAGCACAAATTTCAACGTTATTTTTACGTAAAAAAATAAAGCATCACATTAGTTCCTTTGAGTTTGTGTGAATTTTTAGAAAAATAATTAAATTCTTGAAGAAAATAGAGTCATGAAAATGTTGTCTATTTGGAGGGGAGGGGAGGAGGAGCAAGGAAACACAGGGACTTGGAGGAAGGGGGTGGGTGAGGAGAGTAGTACAAAAATATATTTTCTATTTTCTAACCAAACATTGAAAAATATTTTTTTCACTCACCAAATAAACAAGGGAAAATAAGTAATAAAACCACCCATTCTCCCTGAAAACATTTTCCTTCGTGCCAAACACGCCCGATCTTTGATGTCAGCCATTGCGTTGCAAAGCGTGGAAATTTCTCAATTACTAGTAGACAAATATGGACTAATCTGCTTCGTTTGGAATCTTTGGAAGGGATCAAGAATTTCTTGCATTAAGCTAAAGATGATTTGGACTTGCCTTATCACAACATTGTTACCAGAGATGACAACTCCAATGAATTGTTTCACTTGGTCGTTTGTGTTGGTTTGGTCTTTGTCTTGTCTTGAGAGGGATATTCGCATTCATCTGGTAGTACATGGTGATAGAAGCTTTGTACCTCAAAAAAATTTCAAGAATTTTAATAAGTATTCAAGTCGATTCCACAATTTCATTAGTTTCAACACTTTAGCAACCCTAATTATATTTTTCTACCAGTGTTCTCAGAATTTTTCTAGTATCCAAAGAGGGGAAGGTAACATCTTTTGATTCATATTTTCTATTTTCTTTCCGTTATCAAAAGTGTGAAATAGATGGAATTATCAATGGTTAAAAATGTGAAGTGTTCAAGAAGTAGTAAGTTTACGTTGGATTTTTTCCATTGGTAAACATTATGTTGGCTGAATAAAAAGTAACTATGCAATTAAGCGTTCACAAGGTGGTTCGTGTTCAGCTTTCTAAATGTTGAACCATAAGAGGAAGTAAATAGCTTTTCTTAATCCAATTCTAAAAGATGAAAATCATTATATTCTGTCATCCCAACATTCTACTAACCGTTTTGAGAAAATCTTTGAACTCGATAGATTTAGATTGCAAGTAAAAGTCAACAACTTAAAAAGATATAGATGACATATAATAATGTTGTATCCTTAATTTCATAAATCGACAACCATCTACTGTCATTTCGTAAAAATTGCATTGGGCGTCCTATTTGGTCGACCATTTTTAATTTATACCCGTTTTATTTTTTCGTTTGCATCCGTACCCTTTTTTTGTTAAAAGTATTTTAAAAAGATTGATTTTGCCCTTCTTTAATAAAAGACTATTGACAAAACTGTAGACTGCAAAGCAAAACTTCAGCATGTTTTGGTATGAAATTTTAGCAAATGAACTAAATAATTTCAGCATGCATTAGAAAAAACTAATTAGAAAATTACATACTGCAAGACAAAAACTTAAGCATGTTTAGTATGAAATTTTAGCAAATGAACTAAATAATTTCAGCATGCATTAGAAAAAACTAATTAGAAAATTACATACTGCAAGACAAAAACTTAAGCATGTTTAGTATGAAATTTTAGCAAATGAACTAAATAATTTCAGCATGCATTAGAAAAAACTAATTAGAAAATTACATACTGCAAGACAAAAACTTAAGCATGTTTAGTATGAAATTTTAGCAAATGAACTAAATAATTTCAGCATGCATTAGAAAAAACTAATTAGAAAATTACATACTGCAAGACAAAAACTTAAGCATGTTTAGTATGAAATTTTAGCAAATGAACTAAATAACTTCAGCATGTTTAGACTGAAGTTTCGGATAAAACTCATGACAAAACTGTAGACTGCAGTATAAATAACTTCAGTATGCATTAGCATGAAGTTTAAGCTTCATTGTGAAACAACTTCATGCTATATTAGCATGAAGTTTTAGCTTCATTGTGAAACAACTTCATGCTACATTAGCATGAAGTTTTAGCTTCAACATGAAACAACTTCATGCTACATTAGCATGAAGTTTTAGCTTCAAGGTGAAACAACTTCATGCTATATTAGCATGAAGTTTTAGCTTCAACATGAAACAACTTCATGCTAATGAGTGTGATTCTAAAGATGAATTTGGACAAGTTTCTGGTCTTTTGATAAAGCTGCTGAGAGGAGTGGAAGAGATCTTTTTTCATGAATGAGGTTGTAGATCACGCGATTAATGCGTGATGCATATTTTATATCTTTTGTCAGGGGTGTAATTGTCATATTATTACGGATCTTTTGTCAGGGGTGTAATTGTAAAATTAATAATTTTTAAAAATATAGTAAAGGTTAAAAAGTGGCACAAATATAGGGTACGACTGCAAATATCCCTATCATTTCCTTGTAATTTTGTTTATTTTTGGGCTAATATGGCCCATCTACATAGCAGGAAGGGAGAAGTGCATCAGTAGCCACTTTTAAGCCTACTATTAAAATATATCCTTAATTCATAATGTAATAAAGATTAGCCAAATTACCCAAATTTCATGACAAAGTGTCCTAAGTTTCTGAAATGCTAACTTAAAATTCAGGCCATACGATTCGAAATTTTGGACACAATTTTTAAATTTTAGGACACGATGTCTTTAAGTTTAAACTTCAAGAAGCCTCCTACTAGCCCAGTGCTATAATTGGCCTTTTGACACAAATAGCCACTACCGTGAAGTCTCCTGGTCTGAAATTTAAAATCTAAAACTAACTCTTCAGACCATGAATCTAATTTTTTAGAAGTGTTCAACTTCCAAATACAAGGCCTCAAAAGTGGTCACCTTGTGTGAATAATTCCCGCGGGAACACTTCCTTGTGCTCGATAGTCTTATTCAAGTGATCTCACAAATTTTCAGGGAAAGAAATTCATCACAAATTTCAAAATCGACTAGTAACACAATTTGATTTCTACACTTGGAGCGAAATTACTGATCTCATTACTTTTTCCTTTTTTCCCTTGATGAAATGATCAATAATAAGATTAGTATATTCGTCATGGATGATAATTGAATATTTTACCCCCCAAAAAAACTTTATTATTATGCATAGACGGCTCAAATGGGCTTCACACATTTGCTTTTGGAGCGTAAAGTCTTATTCTTGGATTCGTCATGTGAGTTCCACTGCAAACTCGTTGTTCAATTGGAACTCAAAAATTACTAGCTATTTTAGGAAAGGTGATGTTGAGGCGGCACGCAAGCTGTTTGATGAAATGCCCCAAAAGAATGTAGTAACTTGGAACTGTATGATATCTGGGTATATCAGAAATGGGATGATTAATCCTGCTCAAAATGTTTTTGATGCAATGCCTAGCAGAAATGTTATTTCTTGGACAGCCATGTTAAGCGGGTATGCCAAAAATGGGAATTTAGAGATGGCACGACGTATGTTTGATGGAATGGATGATAAGAATGTGGTTTGCTGGAATTCGATGATCTCGGGGTATGTGAGCAATGGGAAAATAGAGGAAGGTAGAGAATTGTTTGATCTGATGCAGATTAAGAATGATGTGTCATGGGCGATTATGATTGAAGGCTATTTCAGATACGGGGATGTGAGTGAAGCTGAGAGGTTGTTTAGTGAAGCACCAGTGAAAAGTGTGCCACTTTGTAATGCTATGTTAGCAGGTTATGCTGACATGTGGAGGACTGAGGATTCATATAAGTTATTTATGAGAATGGATACGCATGATGTGGCTTCTTGGACTAGTATGATCACATGTTTCTCAAGAGTGAGGGAGGTGGAGAAAGCTAGAAGATTATTTGATGATATGCCTGAGAAGGATGTAGTCGCTTGGACTGCCATGATTCAAGGGTACTGTGAAAATAATAACATAGAGGAGGCAGAAAAACTTTTTGCTGCAATGCCTCACAGGGATATTGTTGCTTGGAATTCAATGCTAAGTGGTTATCTGCAGAATGGAAGACTGCAAGATGCTCTTCATCTGTTTCAAAAGATGGCATGGCGGAATACAGTGTCATGGAATTTGATGTTGTGGGGTTATGTTCAGCAAGATGATATAACTAGTGCTCGAGAGTTATTTGGGCAGATGCCCAGAAAAGATGAAACCTCGTGGAACACTATGATTTCGGGATATCAAAATGAGGAAACTTTGCTTTTATATGTCCAGATGTTGCAAAATAATTACAAGCCGGATCAGAGCACATTTTCCAATGTGGTCTCATTGTGTGGTGTTCTTGCTTTGCATGCTTGGGGAAGAGCTTTGCATGCCTGTGTAACCAAGAGTGGTTTTCAAAATGACACAATGATAACGAGTGCGTTCATATCCATGTATNTATATGTCCAGATGTTGCGAAATAATTACAAGCCGGATCAGAGCACATTTTCCAATGTGGTCTCATTGTGTGGTGTTCTTGCTTTGCATGCTTGGGGAAGAGCTTTGCATGCCTGTGTAACCAAGAGTGGCTTTCAAAATGACACAATGATAACGAGTGCGTTCATATCCATGTATTCTAGGTGTGGATTTATAAATGATGCTTCCTCGCTTTTCAGAAATATGAAAAGACCCGACACAATAGCATGGAATGCCATGATTGTATCACAAGCATGTCATGGTTCGGCTAAAGAGGCCCTTGATCTTTTTCTTTGTATGATTCAAGCTGGATATGAACCAGACCATGTAACTTTTCTTGGTGTCCTAACTGCTTGTGCTCATTCTGGATTAGTGGACGTGGGTTGGAGCTACTTTATATCAATGGAGAAAAGGTGGAGTATAATTCCAAAGGCTGAGCACTATAATTGCATGGTTGATCTCCTTGGGAGATCAGGTATGCTAGCTGAAGCCTTCGAGCTTGTCGAACAAATTCCTGTAAATCTCCCTGCACATGCTTGGGAGACATTGCTTAGTTGTTGTAGAGTCCACGAAAATTTTGATTTAGGTGATCTTGTAGCCCAGAAACTTCTAAGCGTTCAGCCTTCTAATATTGGAATGTGTGTTCTTTTATCAAATCTGTATTCTACAAGAGGAATGTGGAAAGATGCAGCTCGTGTGAGAGCACTACTTAAAAAGTATGATTTGAAGAAAGAATTGGCATGTAGTTGGATTGAGATAAATGGTTGTATATCTCAGTTTGTTTCAAATGAAAGATGTAATCCCAGAGCAAAGGACATATACAAAGAACTAGAAAGTCTTTCTGCACTGATTGAGGATAGTGGCACAGTAGTGTAGCAGGGATGCTATTCAAAATTCAGTTCTTCTGAAGAAATTAATGTTTCTTAACATGTTTTTTCCCTGTATTCCTATCTATAAAAGTTCCTGAATAGAATTTCTGGTTCCTTCTTGATGAATTCATCTAGGATTGGAACATTACTCAATAGCCTTCAAATCTCATTAAGAGGTTGGTTCTTCAAACATCTCTAAATTGAAGAGCTACGCATGTGAATCTTTTGCACATGCATCAACTTAAAGCTTCTCTTTCTTCGCAGATGTTGCTTGATATCTGTTACAGATGCTAGTCCAGTATGTGATTGTATGAAGACCTGAAACCTTATGCTTGACGAAAGTACTCTTGGTGTTAGTCAGAGTTGGGTGCAATTACTGGTGAAAGCTGTGAATCTTGGAAGGTAAGTTCAAAATTAAGCAGTTTTACGATGAGAGCTAGATGAAAATCTTGAATATAGTTGTGCTTTACAAAAGTGAAAATCGAATTAAGCTTCTGCAGACTATTAGGATAAAATTTTCGAATGCCTTGCAACATGATAGCCTCTATATATTCATCAATGAGAAAACAGAAACGTTTATGCAAAGCTTTAGAGGAACGTTTAAACTGAATACTAGTAAGTTTTCGCATACAAGGTAGGAGATGTAGGGTAGGATGCTTATATATCTTTTGACTTATGAACTTAGTAAATTAAGTATAAATAAATACGATATTAAGAATATGCACATAGCGAATAAAAAATAGACATGGATTTATAAATCACCAGTCAATTCTGTCCTATAAAATCATAATCTAAATTAAGATAGGTCATAATCTAAATTATAGATAGAGCACTTAACTTGAAATAAAGAATTAAAGTATTATAATTTAAAAGATTACGTATAGTGGGGATTGAGAATGTACGGGTAAAATATACTGCTTGGGATAGGGGGAGAAAATGTCTATAGTGTAAAATTGGAGAGAGAATTTGATTTTGAAGACAATAGGAGGGACAAAATGAGTTTCACTCATAAAATTGCTTTAAAGAACCAAAAAACCTAAGTTTTGTCCAACTTCATGACAATTTTTTCTGTCTTTTGTCTTAATAAGGTTAAAATTAATGACATTACCATTTCATATTTTATAAACAACCTTCCGCTTTAAACGCTTTTCTTCTTTCCTGTCTGAAATTGTCCTTCCTGTTGTTTATTTTTTGCATCTCACGAAAAACAGGTACCCGAAAAAAGAAAATAGGAAAAAGAGAGATCTTGATTGCATGATCTCCATTAGAGGGGGAGGAGGAGGAAGAATCTGGAAGAGAGAAAAATGACGACAATGAAAGAAAAACAAAGAACATACTAGAGTAAGGGAGGGAGAAGGGAAAAGGAAAACAAAGAATAGAAGAAAAGAAATCAACGGAAAGAAAAGAAACAGATCCTTCTGTAGGGATATAAAAAGGAAAATATTTGAAGAGGGATAATGGAGGAGAGGGAGGGGGATTTGAGGGTTCCTCTGATCTCTTCCTTGTTCTGTCTTTGTGTACTAACGGGTGGTGTCCTCCTTGTTCTCTACCTTTTCGTGCCAGATCAATCCCAGCCATGGTTTCCAGCTGCAGGATTGATCTTGATTGGTTCTCCCTACATATTTTGGCTCCTGACTTACTTTTACACCGGCATGAAACGGTGCTGTTTTGGCGACAGCAGCGTTGACAACCGCCAGATTTCAAGGCGCACCTCAAGGGATGCCACAATGGCAAACCCTGGGGTGGCCAGGACTGATTCCAAGGCAAATGCTGCTACTTCTAATAACAATAACATTAACAATGGCAAACAAGAAAGTGGCCATATCCAACAAGATGGAGGAGATGCATCATCCATCAACTCTGCAAAGGAAATTGAGATGCCTTTAGCCTTATCAGTTGCTTCTTCATGAAATGAATACTTTATCAAGAAATGATCTGGTGAGGTGGATTGATAAATGGCTGCATTATGCATGAGCTATCACAGGAACGAGAGATTTGGATTTGCGGAGATAATTTATAATTCAAGGATCATGTCATCATTCAGGAGCTGTTAAGGATGGTGAAAATGCGTGATAATGGTGAATGTAAGTAGAAATAGCACAAACAGATATTTTAACTTGTCTTGGCATTAACAAAAATTGAACAAACAAAAAATTGCTCTTCTTATTTCGTAGGTAGTTCTCTCTTATTTCCTATTTAGTCTCTTCCCCTCTCTCCTCCCCCAACTTTTCTTAATTTCTCTTGAAACTTCACGTTCAACCTATACAGTACTCTCCGTTTTAGTGATTACAGAATATCAATGATAAATTTGGTATAGTATACCTTCTTGTTCTATCTCAGATTCCTTATTTGGTCAGTCTATGTTGTTAATTGGTATGAAGCATGAAAACAGATCGATCATGTTTTAATCGTCATATGATGCTGCCAGAATTTGTTAATGAAAGTATAAAGTAGGTGCAAAACTAAGAGATTAAGTAGCCAGGCAGTAGGCAAAGTAGTCGCACAATCTTTTGACTAGTTCCGATTTGACTATAGATGGGAGTCGCACAGGGAAACAACGGAAATGGATTAGCTAATACCCCAAACCAAACATGGGATAAATTTAATCACAAACTTTATCCCGAAATTATTATTCTTGTCTAATGTACCAAACAACCCCTAAAAGTGTCAACAAGTGAGCCCATCTATTCCTAATGAGAAGCTAAATACGACTAGGGCATCAATAGAAAGGGAGAGAGTTATTGTTGGGATATATATAAAGATTTCAACTTCTCTATATTGACCGTGTATGAAATTTTTATAGTACACGAGAAGGTCACTTAAAAGATAAATACACCTAACAATGAGGTACGTGAACCATATTACAATAAGTTAAAATATATGTAGGTGTAAAAATATTTATATTATAATTGTCAATGTATATAAGTTAAATCCAAATATAAAAAGAGGTTAACACCTTTGAGATTATGCTTATCATTTTATGTACGGAGCATGAGTACTCCATTACTTTGATCACTAGAATATAATATTTGTTATCATTTTAGTAAATTTCCATATATATATATATATATAATATATTTATACATCATATCGACAATACTGAGATCTCATGAACTAATAACTAAAAGGCTACATCGATCTCTGCTAGATGCCACGGCATGACAGCATCAAGCTGTATTTGAAATTAAGCCAAAAATAAAGCTGACGTTGATAATTACGAACTTTTTGCTACGCTCATTGCCTAATTTTTCATGGCGGTTTAGGTTTAAAAAAGGAAAGAGTGACGTTATAATGGAATTATTGAACAGTGCATGACGTGCCAATATTGTGAATTTTTTGTTGCAATTCAACTGATAATTCCATGACGATATGTTTTTAAAATGTTAGGTAGGAGAACTGGAGAAGAGAGAGCTTTTTTTTTCTCTTTCTTCTGTTTGCAGAGATCCCAACAATAATACATGAGATTCAACTAGAGTATTTGAAAAGGAATAATCATCGAATCCACACTTCATCATTTCCTTCTATTTTAAGAAATCATCACTAATTTATATTATTTCTCTCGGTCCAAAGTAAGTGATTTTTTAGTTGTTTTCACACAAATTAAGAAATTCACTTTTTAACATTAATTAGTAATGAAGTTGACCATATTAACCTTTACTATCTCTTCACATAAATATTCCTAACACATACTCCAACACTATTTACTCCATGGGTAATGTAAGAAAAAAAAAATGATTAATTCATTCTTGAAATCTTGAAAAATCACTTATTTTGAACCAAAAAAAAATACCAAAAAATTCGTGGACCGGAGGGAGTATTAAATTTCATTGCGAAAACATGGAATATTAAAAGCAAAGAAACTGGATAATTTGCTCACTGTTGATGTCAACAAGTCAAGTAATAGAAGTTTGTAATGAAATCTATGTGGACAACAAATTCCTACACAAGTACTAAAAAGGGAAATGTCAAAATGTTCACCTCATTAATCTCAAGATAATTGTATCATATAAACTTATTTAATATTACAGAAAAAGGAAAATGAAAAAGGATTAAAGTACAATTTATGATATAATTTATGAATTTGTATCATGATTTTAAAACATTTGTTTTGTGCATTAAATCTATGATTAAGTGATATAATTTCACTTTAATTTATAAGTACGCGGTGCGAGTAAATATATCGATAATTCAAGTCAAACCGGAAAAAAAATTCCGACGTGATTTGATTTGATTTGGTATTGAAAAAAACCCGACCATAATTTGTTTGGTCTGGATTTAACTATAAAAGTCAAACCGAAACCAAACCAACCCGATATTATATTTATACAATTATTTAAAATATTTTTTGTGATGTAATTTATAAATATTTCTTAAACTTTTTTCACAGTTTTATCTTTTAATGTATTATTTTAATCTTAGACTTAACATTCTCGAATGGTACAATAAGTTTTATAGCCCATAAATATAGCAACTCAAATAAAGTTAAGATCAATATTAATGCTAACAAAATAAATTCAATTCAATACTAGAAGTCACAATAATGTTGGATATCTATTTTTAGTTTTGCATTGGTTTATAATGAAAATGTATAACGTAGTTTATCTTTCTTTAGTGCTTAGTTATGTACTTATTTTAGCATGACTTATATAGTACTTTTAGATTGTGTTCATTTTTATTATGGTTTATTAATTAGCAATATCTGTTTTATGTGATTTTATTATCATTGTTATTGAATATTTTAGTATATTTCTATGACCCATCTCATATTATTGTGTTATTTTCTTGAAAAATACATTATATAGTTGTATCCTACTAGAACTAAAGAAATATTTGGAGCACAAGTTACATATTTTGCGCTATGAAGACATTACAGGGGAAAACCCGAAAATTTCGAGAAAAACTGAGATTAAAAAACCGGACTTTATTGGTTTGATTTGGTTTACAGATTTAAAAACTCGACACCATTAATTTAGTTTGATAATTAAAAAATCTGAATAAACCCGCTAAGCAACTAAATACGTGGTTCAACACGGTCCATTAAAATCATACTTTAGAGAGAAACTTTTCCTATAAAGTAGATTTTTGACTGTATTATCATCTTTGAGGTATTGTGCACTATCTTCCTCATTTTATGTCGGATACTCGGATCCAAACAAAGTTTTCTAACAATATCCATTTTTGGACTTTCTTGAGATATTTTTCATTTCTCGTCAATTTTCAATTTGTAAGCATCCTTTTAATATCTTATGTAATTTGTGAGCATTAAATACGTAAAGTTTTGCATTTATAGCATGGACAAAGTCCAACTAGCTAAGATTTTAAGTACTTCAATTATGACTTCAACAGCCAGCAAGAAAAAAAATTACAAAGCCAAAAGACACCATCATTCCAAGCACCAAAAGCCATGCCTATGTAAAGAATTTTTATATTATTAGATCGTTAGTATAAATAATTTTTATATTATTAGATCACCTTTATTTATTTATTGTAATAAATAATCTATCTTATTTTTAAGATTATTGATCCCGCATTTTAAGGAGACTTATGTAAATATCTCTTTTCTTTGAATAATATGATAGTGTAAATAATTTTTTATACTTAGTATATATAACTTAGCTAGCATTTAGATATAGGGTTGATTGAAACTTGAAAAAAGATTTTTTGAAGTTGTGTTGAAAAATAATTTTTGAAAGTTGAAGTTACATGTGTTTAGACATGCATTTTATTTGAATAAAAGTTGAAATTTTGCGAGTGGAAGAAAAATAGGGCAGTTTTTGGGAAATTAAAAATTTTTGATTTTTTTTTCCAAAACGATATCATATTTCATAAATAAATTTTATTTTAATTTTTTTTTTTTTAAAAAAATGAAGCCCAAATCTATGGCTAAACGGGAGTTTAAACTGTATATATATATATATTTCATTGTGTATAGGCCACTTTTGCTCTTTCCCCTCAAAGGCTATGAAGTTAGAAACGGGGAGCAATTTCACAGCCATGGAAGATGCCTTAAAGCGCATAAAAATTCAAGAAAATGACCGAGAAAGCAGTATTGAATCATCAGTACTGATTCCTGGTTTGCCAGATCACTTAGCTCATCTTTGTCTTTCCAACCTTCAGCCTTCACTTCTTTATGGTGTTTCCAAATCTTGGCGACGCCTTATTTACACCTCATTTTTTCCTCCTTTTTATTCTCTTTATGTTGTATGCTCTCCAACTACTACTTCATCATCCAGTACAAGTGCTAATACTAGCAATAAGCATACAAAAGTTGATCATGAACAAAACTCTGTGGAGTTTTTCTGCTTAGATCCAATTTCATCTAAATGGAAAACTTTACCAAATCCTCCTTCAGATCCACCTATTCGTGTACTTCGCCGTCATCCTTCTTTTATATCAAGAAGCCTTTCAATTCAATCTTTAACTGTATCTGAACGTATGGTTCTTATTGCTGCTACTACACATAAGTTTCTACCTGCATTTGAACGTCCATTGGGATTTAATCCATTGTCTAATGAATGGTTTTTTGGACCTAAATTGCCTACGCCGCGGAGATGGTGTGGTACGACTTCTGTACATGGAAATGTGTATATAGCAAGTGGTATTGGATCTGTATATGATGGAGATGTAGCAAGGTCTCTAGAGAAATGGGATGTGAAGAAAAAGGCTAATGAATGGAAATGGGAAAAAATGGCTGGATTGAAAGATGGAAGATTTAGTAGAGAAGCTGTTGATGCTATTGGCTATAGAGGGAAACTATGCATGGTAATCTATGTGTCTATCTCATTCAAAAGTTTGATTTTTTTTTATGACCGGTTAAGTACGTTATTTGTTTTTTGTTTTAATATAATAATGAGTAGCGATGAAATTGTGTAACATACTCTAGTACTGTTACAATGTCCTTAACCAGAAATTGTAAGAAGGGTATTGGACAACGTCATAATTGCCACTCATTACCTGCTTTGACTGGTTGTGAAATCAGAATTCGCTAAAAGGGTTAAAGATTTAATATATATATAACCTATATACACTTATATTAAGTTTTTGTATACCAGTATATTCTCTGGCAAAGAATTTTCAACTGGCCATTCTTGAGCCTATGTGCTCCGCCACTGGCTTTGAAACCATATTGTGTTGTGTGACCAACTCATCCAAAAAACGGAAGGCTG